CATTTTTCTTTTTTTTTTCACATTGAAATTCGCCAGGTTGGTTACGTTGTCTTTGAGACCGTATGGTAGCCCAGGAATTAGAATCACCCCCATGAAGGAATACCATTCGAAAGGACCTCGCGATCACATGGTCCGGGGGGGGCGAAGAGGAAGGAGGGGGATTCCCTGGGCTCTCAGGTGAGTTCCCACACCGCGATCACTGGTGTGGGATTGCCAGCGACCTCGTAAGTACATAGGACGGCTTGGGCATTCTATGCCGCCTGCCGGCATTTAGAGCTGGGTCCCCAAGGACGGCATAGAACGCCCACCGTCCTTAATGGGTTAGTAATGAAAAAGTTGACAAATTCACAATAAATAGGTCCAGATAAAGAAAAATATTTAAAGGGACACTACAGTCACCAAAACAACTTTAGCTTAACAAAGTTTTGGTGTATAGATCATGCCTCTGAAGTCTCACTGCTCAATTCTCTGCCCTTTAGGAGTTAGATCACTTTTGGTTCTGTCCATACAGCCCTAGGCACACCTCTCCTGGATGTGACTCACACAGCCTGAATGAACAAAATGGCTTCATTTTCGATCTGATATTAACTTACATTAGAAGTGTTTATCTCCTGCTCTGTAAATTGACCTTTTTAATCAGACACAGGTGGCTCCTGCAAGGTCCAGCAAGCTATCAACTGTACAGGGGATAAGAAATTCTAAATTAAACAAACTGTGCAATAAAGGACGTTTAAACATCAGATCTTACTTTACAGGAAGTGTTTAGGAAGGCTGTGTAAGTCACATGCAGGTGTGACTAGGGTTGTATAAACACTGTGATTTAACTCCTAAATGGCAGAGAATTGAGCATTGAACCTGCAGAGTCATGATCTACACACACAAAAACTGCTTCATTAAGCTAAAGTTGTTTTTGTGACTATAGTGTCCAGTTAAGTCATTTTAGTGCTTGAACCTTGCTTGAACCTTGAGCCACCTCCCATTATTATTAAAATGGTTTATTTGGTGACCTTGCTGCTTGGATTATGAAAGAATTTAGGAGGCTATTTATATTCTTATTTATTGATCAGAATACTAAAAGTGGATCAATCACTGTGGAGAAAAATAAAATGTTAATACTTACTTACATCCTCAGAACCTTGTCCCAGACTAACCCTTGACTGCTTACTCCTCCGTAACCTATTCACGTTACTCCTTCCCCACCAATAATGAACACAACACCATTTTAGTGAGTAAGGGCAAATGACCAGCAAACAACCACTGTCAGCTGATGGTTTGACCCAACAGATAGCTCACATTATAATATTTATCCAGAGCCTCTTCAGCTTGTCATTAGGCTGCGACTCCCCAAGCCCATCCATCTGAGTGGATTTTTTTTTTCTTTGAATACATTTTCTGGTGCAGGAAACCCACAGCTGTGACAAAAGAAGAAACTAAACACACCCACACAAACAAACAATTAAGTCCTACCATCCCACTTAAAGGGGAGGGAGGGCAGGAAAAAGTACGACCAGGATTCCTCGGCTGTGCTCCACTGGTCTGGTGAGTTCTCCAAGAATTCCTGGTACCTAACTCTAACACAACATTCTAACCAATTTGGTTACCATGCCAACCCCTCCAGGTTGCAGTGATGCTTCCCCCTCCATAGTCTCTCCGAGGGGTTGGCCTTTATGCTTATCCCGACAAATTAACTGTAGCAAGGGGGAAGCTCAAAGTTCTAGATACTCAGACAGTGTAATCTAATAATGAAACAAGCCTTTGAACCAAATACAGAGCAATTTAGTAAAGTGGGAATGTCAGTAATTCAATGTCGATTTAAATTGCATTCCACATTGTAGGCCAAAACAGATCACTTTAAAAAAGTCTCCAAGACATCTATATTAACAGTTTACATATTAATACCTAAAAAAAATAGAACTCGTTTGAATTTCACTTTGAATTCTTAAGGTAATTTGAGACCAACCAATGCCAGGACTAAGCAGAAAGTCCCATTTCTACTTTACTGGAATTTTCATGTCCGTACAGCATATTACAAATTCCAAATCCTCACCTGATTTATTTTTTAATCGAAGGTAAACACATTTACCTTTACAGGAAATGCAATTCTCTCTGCAGAAATTCCCACTAAAGGAGAAATGGGGCAATCGTTGCATTTTTTTGTAATCAAAATAGAAAATAAATAGCTTTAAGGCCTTCCTTTCTAAAACTGACTGAGTTCTAGGCGATCTTGAATTTTTTTTTTTCCTTATTGTCTCTTTTTGCACCCTACCATAAACAGATCATGTAAAGCTGCACTGAGACTTTTGCTACCTTGCATCATAGATAAATATAGCAGGACCTTTGAATCTTCAGGTATTACAGGGAAATAACCAAGTTCACTAATACGGAGTTATTGATTGCTTGTGGTCGATTTATTTATTTTACCGGGACATTCACAAATGTCTTGTCTGACACAATGTTGAAAAAGAAAAGAAATGTCCAAAAAGTGCCTAAATACATGTTGCAGAATGCAGTCATTCATGTTGCTGTGTTCTGTGCAATGCTAGACGACTGGTTCACTATATAATTACATGCCCCCTTCCCAAATTATGCCCTGCGCCATCTATTCTGTTATGCCTTGTTGAAAAAAATACAAATGACTGCATGATTGAAAGATGATTGTGCTGAGAGCACCATGCACCCACCCACTCTTAGCTCTGGGTATGGCTTAGAACCACTTTAGCTGTTAGACGGCCCCCCAGAGCTGCCAATCAGCATACAACTTAGACTCAGCTCTAATTGCTCCCTGTGCTATGTGTAAACCAACAGCAGCCACAAAATGCTACTATCAGTTTACAAAACATTGTCACTCAATCTATAGGAAGAATAGAAGTGCTCCTGATGGATAAACTACTTATCCAAAATATCCCTGGTGCCTACCTCCCAACACTGAGAGGCATGGGATCTGTACAGTTGGGCAGACCTTCTAGGGGTAGCTGCTAGTTATTCAAGTTGCATCAGTGGCGACACCCATTATGGCCAGACCCATTTGCCATGTTGACAGACAGCCTTCCAGCCAGCTCTAACCCGGAGGACCATGCAGAGAGCATTGCTGAAGCGACTCCTGCAGGATCCTAGTTCGAACTGCACAGGCATCTAATGCTGCACTCACGCTAAGCTGCCAGGGGACAGTTCCCTGCTTAATAAATCTGGATAGCATGAAATCAGGACTGTCAAGATGAAAGCGGGACTGTTGGGAGCTCTGCTATAAAAAGCAGTTTATTACATAAGTGTAGACTCCATAGACTAGAATAAGATGCTCCTGGTTGGTTTTCTTGACGTCACAAAGAACTAACAATAGATTAATTAAATACACGTTTGCTTCTTTAGCACTAGAACTATTTAATTTGTCTTCCATGTTTGTAATTAGTTTTGAACCCACCGATATTGGGGTACTGTGAAGTAGTGGTGGGCTTAACAATTTGGCCATTTGGTGGAACTGAATCCCCATATTTGTTTTGCTGAGATAGGCGATTTTAAGTAGCCTTCAAAATATAAAAAATTATTTTTACTGTGCGCTGTAGCTTAATCTGTGTTATGTATGAATTTTGGTAATTATGACAGCACCAGTCCTGCAAAATCCATGTTCCGGATGTGCCCTCAATTCCTTTTTGAAGAACTGGCGATGACTAACTGAGAACAACCCACAGAGAACATAGCTTCAGTCCATTCCTCATGATGGTCTACAGTTGTTTTTGCCTAATAAGCAGCCTTGAACATCAGTTGCTAATAAATTAATGATATGATGCTACGTGACTAGTCTAAAGCCTACTTAAGCAAAAATCACAATCCAACATTTCAGCCCTTCCAAGATAAATAAAACAATATGTCAGCGTAAGCCGTAAATGCTTAGTGTAGCTTGTCTGCTGTGGGAGTTTGATTTGATACTAGAAAAATGAAAATGTGGGAGTATTAACTTTTCTCTCAGACCTTTAGATCGTAGCATAAGGTTTTATAGAATTTTTATAAAATGTTGAGCACAGCGATTTTAGATTTAACGGTATGTTTTCTGTTTATAGTATCTGGTGAAACATGACAAACGCATACTTAATGATAACACGCATACTATAAATTCCACGCTAGTATAATGTCACGAGGAGCTATTGGCAAACTGTGAATCATTCTTCTTTGAGCCAATCACTATAAACAACAGAAATTGGGAAATAAGGGAAAACAAACAAAACCACTTCACTTTAAATGAATCTACAAGGGGATCGTTGGGGGAAAATGGTTTTAGAATTAATATTTGTGTTCTGTTTATTATCGCCGGTTGCTGGTGAAATCTCACAAACATTCCATTTGTTAAATCACAGTAAAAGTCATTAGGAAAAGGTTATAAACTTTCTTTTCATCAAAACAATTTTTTTTTATTCTTTATTTTTCATTTTGTGCATCAAAATCAAGTTTTATAGACACGTGTGTATAAAGATTCACCGATTAAGTACAGAGACAATGTCGTGAGAGATTCGCACTATTTTTGGGTCAAGCAATAACCGGTTTAGGAACAACAGTAACATTTTGAACAATACTTAGTAATCAATACAGAGGTATCCAAATGTTTTTTGTCATTGGGTTTCGAATAAGGCATGGTGTGCTTTGGTAATGCGTGTGTACAGTAGGTTTGGTGGTGTTAGTGTTCCATGTGAGCATTAAGAGTTGGGTTACAACCGTGCAGAGATGGGTTACAACCGTGCTTCATAGTCTGGCCCTTTAATGCTGAGCTGTTTGAGGATGCCTGTATGCCTTATTGAAATTACGTGTTTTGCCATGAGTGTACTTCTAGATTGGGTGCCCCTAACCTAGGGGGCTACAGGGGGGTGGAGGGGGGGTGGGAGGCTGATGGTGTGTCGGACGCCAAGTGTTTGGGTTTGTAATGCGTTCGCTCGTGATGGGTTGAAGAGCATGGGCTCCCTTTGTGTTAGGGTTATTAATCCATTAACCTGTGGTGGTAAACCATATATAACGGGTAGAAAAGAGAAAAGTATATGTATGTATACATAAACACATGCATATAAGTAAGTAAACATTAGGAACTCAAGGGCATGGGTGTGCAATGGCTAATAGTAGCAGTCCACATCGTTCATGGTACTGGGTGTTGTGATCCGCTGGGTCTCGGTTCAGATGGTGCTCTCGGGGTCCTGTGTCGCCTCATGTGGGCTCCTCTGTGGTCTAGGCGTTGTTAGGCAGTCCTAGGGTGGCTAGGAGGGGTCATCAAGCCAATTTTAACATACTGTGAATCTTACTGATTCGAGTGAATGTTCCAAAACCACAGAATGTGGGGGCAAACAAAACCTAAACAAAGCTCAATTTTAATGAACAGGCAAGAAATGTTTTATGTTCAAATGAAAACACATTTTTTACTTATTTAGTTCCAGAGTGCTACCTCTTCTTTTTTTCTGTATGCCACACAGGTCAATTTTTTATCACGCTTCGAGATGTTGGAGACTAAACAAATATAATAGGAGCATTACATTCTACAGAAAGTATCACTGCTATCTGTGGGCGTTTCTTTTTTATTTTTTATGTTTGCTAACTGTGTTTTTTTTTTCCATATTCATTGAAATTAGAACAAACTGAAATCATGCTTATATTAATGTATAATCCACCCCCATAGTGAACTCAGTGTGAATCACTCATGTCCAATCATTAAAAATGTAATTGTAGGGTTATATTAAATCCAAATTGCAGAATTTAAGTTAGAGTAGCCAAACTGTAGATGTGTTGGAGTTTTTTCCAGTTAAGCTATTTTAAATTAAATCTTAAGATTGTTTAGTGAATAACCCCCATGAATAGTTTTTAGTAAATGTACCCTGTATTTTCATATACAAACATACAAAATTAAGTCCGGCACTCAAACTCCCACTACTTGCAAAAACAGAATATTCAAGTATATCATTTTTCAATGTAGGGTAATAGCTGCTTGTTCCAAGGATTAATCTGACTGCCATTCTGGGGTCAAGAAGCAATTTTTTTTCCTAGTGTGTTGCAAAATTGGAAGTGCATCAAACTGGGTTTTTTGGCCTTCTTTTGGATTAACCGCAAAAAACTAAAGTGAGGAAGGCTGCACTTGACGGACGCAAGTCTCATTTCAGCTATGTAACTATGTATTAATCGTTTTCAACCACTAACCCAACTGACTAGTGTCTGATAATTATTACTATAACTTATTCTGCTTTAAATACATGTTTTCATGAAATTATGGTTTTGTGCTATCTCTTTCGGGGTGAACCATGACCAGTAACAACCCATTTTCTTCTCCCAGTCTCCGTTCCCAACATAATTTATAGCAACAGAGACCTTCTGAGACATTCAGACTGGAAATTCTAAAGATACAGTAGCTGCTGTGCTAGAAAGAGTCTAATGAGACAAATGTATAAAAAAAAAAGTGTCATTAGAATGCAAATACAACCAATCAGACATCTGGATACATAAAATTATTAGCATCAAGAATACACATCTAGGAGGGTAGTTGCAGATGCATAATTTATTAAAAGTGGGTGCTATTAACATTCTGTTTTTCACACAATCTGAAGATTTATGAAACTGCAAAAATGTTTACATTCCCTTCTATATTTAGAGTTGTTCTCACCACACACAAAAGGTCTATTGCTTATGTATACAATATATGTATATACAATACAGATATGCAAACTTTGTGGGAACAGCAGCAACCTTGACAACGTTCTGTGACAGAGAAATGAAATACAGTGATTGAGTGATGATAGACTATATTTTATTATACTTTGCAGACCGAAACCCAAAATGATTTGCCTGTTATTTTAAGTGGTAGATTATGAATTTCAACACTGTACGGAACAGTGTGATGTCACATTGCTTGCTACACAGATATGATAATTTATAGCATGATTAGGAGATCTAAACATCAGAAAACACATGTATACTGAGATATACATATTACAGCTGCCCAATGTTTAATGGGATTTGCATTCCTATCTACCATACTCACCCACAATGCATAATCAGAGCCAGCATCACGTTTTGTGTAAGTGTCTTCGTAAGAGCATCTGAGGGAGAGAGAATATGGTTAGTATTTCAGGGATTGTGGTTAAAAATTAATTCAAAGTCAATTTTAAATTTAAGGTGAAAATAGTCAAACTGGACTAATTGCCTAAATCAGCTAGGCTTTTGGTTTTGACTACTCGGCCTTAACTTTTAAGGGAACATGCGTTCCTGACCCTATAATGTTTGATCCCCCATTTAGGTGGCTTTGCATTCTTAGAAAATGTTAAAACTTACCTTGTTTCCAGCGCCGCACGGGTCCCCTGAAACTGTGCCTGCCTCTGATCCGTCTCCAAGATGACATAATCAGAATTTCATATTTTTAGCCAATCCAATGCTTTCACGTAGCTGAAATCGGCAAGGAGGTGGGATGGGGCGGGGCCACACACCGTTTTGGCCAATCAGTATCTCCTTGTAATGATGCATTAAATCAATGCATCTCTATGAGGAAAATTCAGTGTCTCCATGCAGAGCAATGGAGACGCTGAACGGCAGTGCTGCCTACTGTGCATCTGAGGAGTAATCACTAGAGGTGTCCTTAGGGGGCAATGTAAACACTGCCTTTTCTCTTAAAAAATCAGTGTTTTGTAAGAAAATACCTGAAGGCAATGACTATACTCACCAGAACAACAACATTAAGCTGTAGTTGTTCTGGTGACTATAGTGTCCCTTTAAATTCACTTCAAATTCTTACTTAAGGAAGTAACCATGTGAGAGTTTTAGAGAGTGTTGGAACAAGCGTGATGCTATAGCAGGCATAGGCAACCTTCGGCACTCCAGATGTTTTGGACTACCGCTCCCATGATGCTTTGTCAGCATCATGGCTGTAAGAGCATTATGGGGGATGGAGTCAACACCATCTGGAGTGCTGAAGGTTGCCTATCCCTGTACTATAGAAAACATACTGGTAATTTTGTTGATTTTTCTGGATTTTAACCCCTTAAGGACCAAACTTCAGGAATAAAAGGGAATCATGACATGTCACACATGTCATGTGTCCTTAAGGGGTTAAAGTGAATTTTAGGAAAAATATTTCTGCATTAGTTGTATTTCAATTTCTACTTTTGTGGTGTAAAATGTGTCATTCATTTTGAATCCCAAACAAATCCCAACTCCGAGCTATGATTGTATGAATGGTTACTGATTTAAACACAGTTATCTTAAAAAAGAAATGAGTGAAAATGATATCTTGGAAGATTTTGCGGTTGCATTTTGATGCAGTAGTATTTTTAAAGCATTTACTGTGACAGTAATGTTTGTATTGTTGCTCTTTTGTCCTTTGTTTTTTTTTTTTTTGGCTTTTCATAAAAACAATGCTATTGAAATTGTTCATACTTTCACATCCGTCCTCTGCTGCGTCTTACTCTCAAATTAAGAAGATTCCTCTGCAGAGACCGTACGTGACCAACTGAAATCCTTGGCAATCATTTCAGAAGCAGCAATGCTTGTGTTTAGAAATTTGCCAAACATCAAATATTTGTAAAGCAAGCAGTATAAATTAATGAATAAACTGCCCTTTAACCTTTTATTTTTTGTATAGAAAAAAATAAATGAAGGGACGCTCAGAATATATATCTACCGTGTGTGTGTATATATATATATTCTCCAAAAATTAAACATTATTGCTGTATAGTACGATAAACCTATCTTTTCATAAAATAATTAATCATTTCTGTCACATCCGTTTTCGACCACGACAGCAAAATCAGCTGTTTTCTAATTGTTTAGAAAAGTAAATAGAAATTAATTTTTATAATATGTAGAAAACCACAACTGGCACAAAACTGTACAAACAAACTCTGGATTATTTAATTACAGAACTGCTACAAACTATTTCTTTTGTATTTACAAAATATAACTAAAACGAAAAAATTACAAAAACGTACCTAAATATCGTGATAACGTAACAATCATCTAGTGTTTGATAAATATTACCGTAGTTATAACTTCTGCTTTAAATAAATATTTTCATGAAATTGTATAGTTATGGTTTTGTGTTACCTCTTTCGGGGTGACCCATGAACAGTGACCACCATAGCTAAATCTTTCTTCTCAGAGTCTCAGATCCTGCACATAATTCATGGCATCAGAGACATATATGTTTATATATACATGGGGATTTATGTCATTTTGTTTCACTGGCTGTATGTGAACCTTTAATTTGTCCCACAATTCTGAATAAATATAAAAATAACAACAACAAAAATTCATAATAAAACAAAATAAAAAATCTAAAATATATATATTATTAGTATAAATTATTCTAAAATAATATATAATGAAAAATTTATTTTCCCCAGTATAAATAATTTTAGGACAGTTTCACGTACTGTAACAAGTATAATTAGTTTTCTGTAGTTCTGAATAGTGTGATGGTTAGAAGGAACACTCTAAACCTGTGTACTTTATAACATTGCCGGCTGCACGAGATTAAATTGTTTTTACAACTGCAGTAAAAATATAAGGAAAATAAAAGAACAGATTTTGGGAAACAATAATGCTAATCAGGTATTGTGTATATTGTAGGTGATCTGAAAGATGGTAAGTCAAATCCCAGCTGTCAAAACAAGAAGTGAAAATGGAAATGGGGTAGGGGTAGGGGACACTTGTTTAAACTAGCCAGAGTGTGGAATCTACGTTATGCCATTCAGGATTCTACAGCAGACAAAATAAAAAGATAGTTGCTTGAAGAGTGCCTAACCCATAGCAAATATGTGATAAAATCAAACATGCACGGCTCATTAGTTTATCTGCAACGAGGACCAGCACGGGAAAATCACAGGGGAAGATTAGAGCACTGCTTTCAACTACTTCATCCAATCACCAGTGTAGGAACTAGAGAAAATCTGGGGGGACAGCCTTTCATAACAACCCCCTTAACAAGTATCTATTCATCCACTTAGTTTTATAAAGAAGAGTAATACAGGCGAGGAGTACAATATATAGGCAAGGCCAGATTTCACATTTGGCAGTGCAAGCACATATCCACTAGGGGGCGTCTGTTCTCATTGCTTATAACAGGGGTAGGTAACCTTTGACACTTCAGATGCTGTGGACTACTTCTCCCCTGATGCTTTGCCAGCATTATGGCTGTAAGAGTATTATGGGAGGTGTTGTTCACAATATCTGCAGTGCCGAAGGTTGCCTTCACATGGCTTATAATGTGCTTTTTGGGGGCTGATGAGGTGATAAGTACAAGTTGTGTTCGTTCTCAGAGTTCTGATATTTTTTGTATTTGTTGCAATGCATTAACTTGATTCTTCCCAAGTTAAAAGGATAATCCAGACGTAGACCCCGTGCTGGAGGGGTATCGT